AATAATTCAATAAATGTTTATCTTCAAGATCAATGGGGATGACTCCTCATTTAGTGAATTGTAATTTACCACAGTGGAATTACTCAAGCTATGGTATTAAATACCCTTCATGCCCCCTTTTAATTTTGAAAATAACATAATAATCCAACCACTACTAACTTTGTCCCACCACCTTAACATCATTGTCAACTTGACCTTACTCAAGCCATGGCTCCACCACCCATACCACCACTAACCTTGACCATCCACCACCACGACTCCACCTTTACAACCAGATTGACCGATTCCACGACGGTTGACCACCAACATTGTACTTTCCGACCACTAAAATGAGTTGACGACGGTCCGCGTTCATATCGGAGGCACTTGGTGGGGACGACGAACCTTCGACGCCGTCGAGTCAAGTATATGTCGAACTTTTTTTTTTCAATTTCCGATGTACCCGGTGCCATGTAATATGCAACTATACCATGGCGTGACCGCATGTAATATGCAACTGCACCATGGTATAGTTGCGTATTACATGCGACCGTACCAAGGTACAATTGCATATTACAGGCGACTATACCATAGTATAGTTGCATATTACATGCGGTCGTGTACCGTTTAATTTTTTTTTACATAATACTTAAAAAAAAAATACATTTAATTTAATTAGTAAATTTTTGATGATTTTTTTAATTTTATTTGTTGTTTTCTAATGAATTTTATTTTATTTGAAGTTAATTTTAATTATTATTTTTGTTATATCATGTATTTAATAGTTTAAATGTCAAAAAAAAAAAAATTATTAACTTTGTATTTTTTTTTAATAGGATCAGATTGAAGATTTTGGTGGCGATGGGGAAATTATTACCCACGCTTTCAGACCAACCAATTATTTCCAATGTACTAAGAATTGTCACGATGGGCGAAAGACATTGCAATAACACTCAAGTTTCAAATTGTGCATACATACAACCATAACAGATGGTTATATTTGCGATGCAATCGTGGTGCTAGAGATAGAAGAAAAAAATAGAGATCTGAGTGTTGCGCAACGCCAGAACACAAAAACTCAATATTGCGGTTGCAAGTTTTTGATCAAGGGTTACAAAGTTTCTGATGATGAAGGATGGCAGATTGTCTTGGGACTCGATGCATATGGTAAACATAATCATGAGTTAATTGTTTATGAAGAAGGCAATCGACAAATGAGCAAGCTTAGTCCAGGTGCAAAACAACTTGTTCGTGACCTGACTGATGCAAAAGTGAAGCCACAAAATATCTTAGCGGCTGTGCAGAAGCAGTTTCCTGATGACCATCCCAATCGTAGACACATTTACAACTTTAGGGATCGGTTAAGGCTTGAAGAAGCAGATGGTAGAGCTGTTGTTACACATTTCCTTGAACTTGGTATCGAGTCGCAATACACACATTGGAGCTTGGTTGACCCGGATACGAAATGTTTTGACCTATGTATTCATGGCACATCCTACGTCGCTAGCGCTCTTATGCACGTCTTCATGGGTCATTGGCATTGATTCAACTTACAAGACAAACAAATACAAAATGTCTTTTTTGGAACTTGTTGGTGTTACTCCTTGTAACATGAATTTCTTAATCGGGTATGCTTTTATGAAGGATGAGAGCGTTACGAGCTATGTATGGGTGATAGATAAGTTGAAGTTACTGATTGGTAGCGATGTCTCGCCTACGGCTATCATAACTGATTGTGAGTTGGGTTTGATGACGCCTATTCGGGAAATATTTCCCACCACTGCTCATTTACTATGCACATGGCATATTGACAAGGATGTAGAGCATACAGTTGGTAAAATAACGGATAATAAAGACCAAGGAAAATTTTTAAGGTTGACGAGGTGGAATCCAATTCTTAATGCCACTACATTGGATGATTATAATAGAGCGGTTCGGCAAATGGTGGAATCTTATGCAGCATTTCCTAATGTGATTTCTTATGTGAAGAATACTTGATTAGACAATCATAAGGAGAAATTTGTGAAATTTTGGACCAATGGTGTGCTTCACTTCGGCAATGTCACCAATTGTAGAGTGGAAAGTGCGCATTCATCTTTGAAAGGGTGGTTGGAAACTTCACCTGGTTCTCTTGATTCTGTATGGGCCAAGGTGAACAAGACGATTGAAGATCTTAGGAGGAGGATACAATAGGATTAGCTTCAAGCAATTTTCTACATTTTTAATGTAATATATATGCTTAATTTGTAGAAATTGCTTATGTTATATGCTTATGTACCGTGTAGAAGTTGCTTAACAATTTAGCCATAAAAAAAAAAAAACTACCACATAAAATTATCTAAAAGTAATAGTAACATAGTCAAGTCCATCAATTACATAACATAATCTAAAACATTAAATAGTAGCAAATCATAAAGTGCATCAATGAAACATAATCATCCCATTCTTTCAGCACTTCAGCAACACGTGGATGACAATCGACGCAACCCTTAATGGCTCGAGCTATCCGTCCCATCCACTGCAAATTGTATATTAATAAGTACCAAAACTAGATTAGTTATTGAAATAAAATTAAAGCAAAATTATACTAACTTACATAAACTAGGAGTATCCTATCAGGAACTACAGGGAACACCACATCCACTTCTGGAATAACAAAGATATGTGAAACGTCATTGAACCAGTCATAATACCCATCTGCAACATCAGAGGAATGTTGAGCGCGCTGGAACTCTGCAAGAATCAACCGGAAACCTCTAGGATACAAGGTCTCTCGACACTCGAGACATTCCACTTAACCTCATACAATTTCGAATCTGCAGGCTTGTACGCAAAATCTGGGCGGTTAATAGGCATAGGAATCGTCTATACATAACCAAACTGGCGTAAGACACGATATGGCATGTACGGCTCAATGACATCTCGATAACAAAGCCATCTAGTAAATATAGACCTGGGAACATATGAGGCCGACTCTGGACCATAAGGTAGCCAAGCGACTTGCAAGAAATGAAGTAAATACATGAAAAGTCGCATTAATAGTTGTTTAATGAAAACATGTAGAAAGTGTTAGAATTTACCATGTTCGAATCAAACTCGTCTAACCGCTGATGAAAAGCTCTCAATCGAGCATCAGATAAACCCTCCTTCGTGGTACTACTACACCGGTTCGAATCATCATCAACTTGTCTTTGACGTTTATTAGTATGTCGTCTACTAGTGCTGCTACCGGTGTCAGAAGCGACAAACCTATCATCTCTACCCCTTCTAGCTACTACTACACCTGACGTGTCATCATGCCCAGTTGCCCACCACTTTGATCAAAATAACCCTCAAACTCCTCCGTCGCCATCTCCTCAGACTCGCTAGCTCGTCCGCCATCAGGCTCGTTGTCAAAAGGAACAAATGCATCATCAGAAGCCCCATGAACAACAGTCTTTTCCAATCGTGCAGCATCCCTCTCTCTCCTAACAGAGGCATTGATGTTTCGAGCTCGAGTGTGTTGCGGCCCTGAGTCAGTCAACACATCAGACGCCGCAATTGATTTTCCACCTTAACGCTATTTTATATAATAATAAAATTTTCGATTATTATATTCATAATTCTAATTATTATTATTATTATTATTATTATTGCAATTATTATTACTGTTAATTTTACTATTAAACAATATATTATCGAACTCATTTTTTTTAAAACAATATTAATAATCCTAATTATTTACAAATTAAAAGTAAATGCCAAAATAAAATTTACGAATTAGTAACAAAAATTATATTTGCAAATAACATAACAATAATTACATAAAAATAACAAAAATTAAATTTACAAATAACTAACATTACAATTATTAATTATTATTAGATAGTTATTACTATTCATAAATCAAAATTATATTATTAATTATATTTAAAAAATATAATAACCATAAATTTAAATTCGAATTCGAAATTTAAAAAAAATAAATAATAATAACCATAATTCGAAATTTAAATTCGAATTCAAAATTTAAAATAAATAATAACCATAATTCGAAATTTTAAAAAACAATAACCATAATTGCCTATAATATGCGACTACACCGTGGAGTAGTCGCATGTAATATGCAACTACGCCGTGGTGGAGTCACATATTGCATGCGACTACGCCGTGATTGAGTCACATGTTATATGCGGCTTCACCGTGGCTCAGCCGCATGTAATATGCGAACCACGACATGGTTGCATATTAAATGCGACTACACCGCGGTGTAACCGCGTATTACAGGCGGTCCAGTAAAAAAGATTAAAATAAAAAAAAACCTTACAGTCTAATTGGCCGGCGATTTCCCTGCGTTTCCCGGCAAACGAACCACCTTCCCATGCCGCGAATCCATTGTCGTCCACCTACTATTTTTTCCGGCAGATTTGGTGCAATAGGTGGCTGATTTCGGCAGAATTGGTGCGACAGGTGGCTGATTCCGACAGAATTGGTGCAATAGGTGGTGCGATAGGTGTTTTCAGGCGAAATTGGTGGTGCAGGTCGGAGGTCAGATTCACAGTAGTGTGCCTATGGTGTTTAAGGTTTATGGTGGTGGAGGGGGCATGGGTGGTGAGAAAATTGGGTGAGGCCAAAGATTAAATTTATAAGGGTAGAGAGGTCAATTAATACTGCGACATAAATAATTTCATTGTGGCATTTAGTAACCCCCCTCATTTATTGAGAGTTCGATGACTAACATGTTAGCCATTCTCTTCCACAACACATCTCTATTTCAAAAGTAAGATTTTGTTAATATGTTACTAGTCTTAAAATTTTCATTTGTTGATACTCGTAATTTTCATATTCATAAATTGTCATTTTTTGGTACCACGTCATTTAAGTAACAAAAAAAAAAAAAAGGTCAACATAGATAAGAGTCAAAAGTATAAACGAGCTTTTAACAAAAATCACAAAAAACTTCAAATTAAACTCATGCAACACATGTGATATAACTCATTTTACCAAGTTCGATGACTAATAGGTTAACCATTTAATCTTACTCTTACTCTAATAACAAGATTAGAATTTGTTAATAGTCTTAATACTATAGTTGATTCCTCACCAAATTGTATGGGTTGTCATCTCGCATTGAATTAAGTTACCCAATTGTGCAAGAAAAAAAAGCAGGTGGTAAAGAGCAATCCTCAAAGTCAAGCAAAGATCCAAATCATTCTTCTCTCCAATCACTATCTTTCCTTTTTCTGACGGACCAATCACCTTCAATTTTTCATTTTTAATAATTCCAGAATAAAATCATATCTTCACTCTTTCCAAAAAATAATTGGATTTTTTGGATTGGTGGGGTTATGGGTGTTATTCTCTTGAAATTCTAAATTCTGGGTGTTTAAATTTCAGAGTTTTTAAGATTAGATACATAATTGGGTAAATTCTGGGTGTTTTCATTTCAGAATTTTTGGGATTAAATAGAAAATTGGGTATTCGGGAATTTGGGGAAGATGGGTAAAGTGGTGGTTGTGGCGGCGGTGTTGGGAGTTGCGGCGGTTTGTGCGGCGGTAGGGGGGTTGATTTTGAGCCGTCGGATGAAAAAGGGGGCGAATTGGAGACGTACGATTGAAATTTTGAGGGAATTTGAGGAGAAATGTGGGACCCCAGTTGAGAAATTGAAGCAAGTGACTGATGCTTTGGTTAAGGAAATGAATGCTGGACTTGCTTCTGATAGTGCTGGTCGTGTGAAGATGCTTGTCAGTTATGTTGATAATCTTCCTACTGGGTATTTTTCTGCAACATTTTTAATCATTTGCTAGTTTTTCAATAATAAAGCTTAATTTTGAAGTGTAAGAAAATTTTGTTCTTGTTCTTGTTATTTGGTCATGATTGAATTACATTATTATTTATGTGATATTTTGTTAGTTAATTTTTAGTTGTGTGCGGAGACACAAGGGCAACAATGTAGACGGAATATGGGTAACAAATAGAAATTCCCATGAAGTAAGTTTCTTACTTAAGGGGTATACTGGTATAGGTGAGTGAATTGCTAGGTAGTCTCACTTCTATTTTTTTCTTATGTCAACCGAACAACCAGTAATTAAACTAGTTGCCATCCTCTTATATTGATTATTATTCATTTTGTTGTGTATAGAGTTACAAAGGTGTTGATGTAGACGGGATATGATAGCAGATCATGGGTACCAATCCCACATGACATCACTAAGTTGATATGATTTTTATTCATTTGATATCATCTTTTTGGTTGATTGTGATGAATGATGATGTTAGTCTTATACAAAGTAAGATTTTGGTAATTGTGTGTATGGTGAAAGTGTCTTGCTTTGGCAGGAAATGAATTACTGTGTTATTTAATGTCTAAAAGACTTCAACAGACTGAACTATGAAGGGTTAGGATTAAAATGAATTCTAGTGAAATTTAAAGCTAGTTTGCATTTTATTGTGAATTAGGTGCCAGGAAAATAAGGTTTATGGAAGTGGCTAATTTTACAAGTTTCTTTGTGACTGAATATTTTATGTTTTAAATTTATTTCTAGAGCTTTGTTCTTATCTTGTGTTGCTTTTCCCCTCTGGGCAATCAGGGATGAGGAGGGTCTATTTTATGCATTGGACCTTGGTGGAACTAACTTCCGTGTTCTTCGGGTTCAGTTGGGTGGCAAGGGTGGTGGTATTAAGCACCAGGAATTCGCAGAAGTTCCAATCCCAATGGAATTGATGATTGGAACGTCAGATGTGTGTGATTCTGTATCTGTTGTATGTCACATTTTGATGCAATTAATTTGTTAGATTTATCCATACTGACAAATAGCTATGGATGGCAGGATCTTTTTGGTTACATTGCAAGTGAACTTGCAAAGTTTGTTGCCCAAGAAGGTCAAGAGTTTAGCCTTCCTTCTGGCAGGGAAAGGGAGCTCGGGTTTACCTTTTCATTCCCTGTTATGCAAACATCCATTGACTCTGGAACTTTAATCACATGGGCAAAAGGCTTCTCTATAGATGATACGGTAACTTAACTACCTTATACTATCATTGCAAAAATTTGGATATTGGTAATTTCATGAAAATGTGCAATTCTGTTTGAAACTAGCATGGTCTGCTTTAGTTCTATAACAGTATTGGCATATTGCTGAATTTATTGAGGTGTTAATGACATATGAGTACTTTCTAGTTTGTGAGTCTGGTCGTGTTAGCCTGTTTACGTTTTTAGTGCATGAAAATGTAGCTCATTATAGAGACTGTGATTTTAATATATGATGAGTATTGGTCGTCTGACCATTTTTTAAAGAAAAATGATAAGACTGAGAGTTGTAAGTATGCATTATTAAGCAAGAAGAACAAGTGCATAACATGCATATGGTGTTTCTTGTATCTATATTCCATAATTCATACTCCCCTAAGCCCCTTTCTTTGCAGCCCGTGACTATCATGTCCCTGGGATAGCTGAACAAACATGGTGTTATCTTCTGATTATATTTTACTAGGGAAGTCAGGGGAAAACAAATCTGGATGGATGGTTTTATCAGATACTAATACCTGAACCCCTTGTATTAGAAATGAAAATTGTGACTGAAAACCTAGTGTACATTAAGCATATAGCAAGCAAAATTCTGACTTATTAAAGGGTGAAAATATTGTTTCTCTTTAGTTATGTTTGGCTCATTGCTTTTCATTCTGTTACTTTTACATGGAAATCACATCTATTAAGAAACAAAGAAGGGAAAAGTAACAAAATTTTCACCCGTTACCTGTTCCTTTGGCCACCCTTTCCCTTTTAGGGCATGCTTGGAATGGGGATGATAAATTAAGGGGTAATAAAAGTGAAACTAGAAAAAAACACAAGTGATTAGAGGTATTGTTGTAAGAGACAAGGTGTTTACAAATGGAATAGGATAGTTGTGACATGAGGAGAAGAGAGAGGGTATCATTACTCATAATGTGGGTTATAGTTACCCATCCTTCCCCTAGTGTAACTATTACCTCTACAATGAAGGTAATACTATAATAGTTCCCTCTTCTTTATCTCTCACCACACCATCACTACATAATTTTTTTACAATCACACCATTACTCTCTCATTTTTCTTTATATTCACATTCATTTTCTTAAGTTTGACTTTTATTACCCTAGTAATACATCACTCTCAATCCAAGCATGCCCTTAAGTGACATTGAGAAGTGAAATTGTTACTGACTGTCAAAAATCACTAGGAATCTACTTTGGTCCCATTTTTTCTGTCAAGTATCATACACAAGTTTGGTGGTCAAAGTTTCAAACCAACTTCATTTCTTACCAACCTCTGGTGCAATTCCAAGATGGCTACTTGACCTAACCTCTTCATCCTCTTTAATGTCTGCTTGAGAGAGTAAATGTGGAAGTCAATAAGAGAAGAGGAATTGTAGTAGTCTCAATCAATTCACTCTCCAATTACATGTAATATGAGGAATCTGTCTATTCTTGTTTCCAAAGAGTGCAATCTTGGACCTTCAATTGTGATACCGGTGGATCAGGGGTTGAATTTATCAGCACAAGAAGATTCTGGCCAAAATTCTGGATACATTTTGGAAAAATCAAACTTCCATTAGATATAAATAGATAACAGGTTTTCGTAGACATTCTTGTAGTGTTGAAAATGAAGTTTAAGTCTGTACATAACAGATCATTCCATTTTTTTTTTGAGAGTGAGAGAGAGGGAGAGTTTGGTGGGCTGTGCTAGAGATTTGAGACCAGAGCTTTGGGGGCTGTGAGCCTGTGATAGATATTTGGGATAAGAGAGAAACATGTTGAATTCTTGTGTGATGCATTCAGTTTCCCGAGTTCTTTCCTGGATTCTGATTCTTGACTGTTAGTGCTAGATTCAGATAATTCCTACGTATGTCCGACCTCTCTAGTTAGTAAGTAGTTAAACAGAATTTTTATTTACTCTGGCTTTCGAATGGGCTTCCATGAAATATTGCGCTTTGTTAGCCGGTTATTTGGTCAGAAGCTATAAGGTCCTTAATTCAAAAGGGCATATATTGAAATTCTGAAGTTGTACAAGTTTGTTGAGCTTGGCAGGAGATGATAAGAGGCACCCGCTAAGTGATATTTGGGGAATATCTGTTCTTATGTCTGCATTAGAAAAGATGAGACTATAAGTTGCTTGCACTTGATATTTGTTGTGAAGTAGCAAATGTTGATTACCAATTGAATTAAGGATAAATAGTAATCCTCTTGGTAGCAGGGGTAAGGCTGTGTACTTCTGATCAACCCCTTGCCCCAGTGTGTTGTACTGCTGCAAAGTTAGATCCATTGTTGTTGCCTTGTGCAACCTTGTCAGTTGGCTAACAAATGTTCTATATTTCTCTGACAACTGACGTGTACTATTTAATTTATGATTTTTTACTTTTGAAAATTTATCTGGTTATATCTGTTTGTTGACTTCTGTCTGTTGCTATCATAGGTTGGTAAGGATGTAGCTGATGAGTTGGCAAAATCATTGAAGAAACATGGTGTTGATATGCATGTCACAGCTTTGGTAAGCTTAAATCTGCATGTGGCAATTCTGCTCACTCAAAGTACCTGTCTTGAAAAAATGTTACTTATTTACAAACCTCTTCAGAAGCTTCTTTCTGATTATCATTTTCTGCATTTTAGATATGCTGATCCACATTATAAAAACTAGGTTAATGATACAGTTGGTACACTAGCTGGAGGTAGATTCTCAAACAAAGATGTCGTTGCTGCAGTGATATTGGGCACAGGAACAAATGCAGCATATGTGGAACGTGCAGAAGCGATACCTAAATGGCATGGTCCACTACCAAAATCAGGAGAGATGGTACATAAATTGGCATCAATTATTTATCTTGGTTTTGTTATTAAAGACTTAGAATAAACATGCATGGTCATATCTTAAGAAGATTAACAATGTTGTGCTGCAGGTTATCAACACGGAATGGGGTAATTTTAAAACATCATATCTTCCATTGACAGAATTTGATAAGGCCTTGGATTGTGACAGTCCCAACAGTGGTGAGCAGGTGGTTGCTTCAACATTCATTTTATCTACCATTTACACTTTTAAATCCTGAGTGTTTTCAATGGTGTTATTGATCTTTTTTGTATCTGTATAATGATTTTGATAGATTTATGAAAAGATGATATCTGGAATGTATTTGGGTGACATTGTACGTAGAGTTCTGTGCCGAATGGCTGAAGAAGCTTCTTTCTTTGGTGATACCATCCCTCCAAAATTGCAGATTCCATTCATCTTAAGGTAAAATTACTGTTGGCTGAGTACTGAGCCAATGACATAAGTTTATTTTTGTTCATGTACAAGCGCATACTAATTGTAGATTTGCAGCGCCTTAATATCCTGGAATTACATGTAGCATTTCTTGTCTTCTCCCATCCAAAAAAATCCTTTATTTTTCTGTTATACAGAAAACTGGACAAATTCCTAGTCCTTTCATTTACTTAACAGAATCCCTGTTAAGAAGAAAATGGTAGTGTGAAATAAGGGGAGTATAAGTTATGCCACTCTGCCAGAACATCTGAGGCCCTTTTTTTTTTAAATAATTGGAATATGATACAATGTACTGTATTACTTTTAAGTTGTGATAAAGGATTTTAAAAGTTCTGGAGAACTGACCGAAAAGTGTTATTGCAGGACACCTGACATGTCAGCTATGCATCATGATTCATCACCTGATCTCAGCATCGTAGGATCTAAAATGGAGGAAATTTTAGAGGTATTATTTTTTTCGTGCAAGCATATATAGAGTTTTTGTGATTGTTTTATTATTTCGTGCAAGCATATACTGGTAATAAAATTCGAATTGTAACAAAGAATTTCTTAGTATATACAGAGTATATTTGGATAAACTCTGGTCAAACTCCCCTTTTCCCTTGCATCATGAATGACTGTAATCTTTAATTTGACCTTCAGATACCAACCATTTCCCTCAAGAAAAGAAAAGTCATACACGAGCTCTGCAGAATTGTGGCAACACGTGGGGCTCGTCTTGCTGCAGCAGGCATTTTGGGGATTTTGAAGATGTTGGGAAGAGACACACTGCCAAGCAACAAGGAGAAGCAAAGGACTGTTGTAGCCATGGATGGTGGATTATACGAGCATTACACTGAATTCCGGGAATGCTTAGAGGAAACGTTGAAAGAGCTTGTTGGGGAACAAGTCTGGGAAAACATCTCCATCGAGCATGCTAATGATGGTTCTGGAATCGGAGCTTCCCTACTAGCTGCTTCTCATTCGCGCTACATTGAGGCCATGGAAATTCAAGAAGATGTTGTAGTTGTTCCTAGGAGGCTGTCAGAGGAAGAACAGGATAGCTCAACACATCAGTAAATTCTGTATTCTTCTTGGTAGTATTCTGTCACGTGTATCAGTCCTCTCAGTGTGTATTGAGCTCCTGGATAAGTTCATAACCTGGGAAGTGGGAGCACATTTGGGTAAAAGTTAATGCATAATTTTTTTAAATAGACATAATAATAAAATGGGAGTTTCCTAATGTTGTAGGAAGTTCTATTATTATCTTATCTAATCATGCAATTAATTTTATTCCATGAAATAAAAAGCCCTTGAGGCACTACGGTCTTTCCTGATTTTCAGGAACTACCTAAAATTCACCTAAAAAGGAGTCTCTTTCGTTTTGAATGATAAACAAGATTTATTTATTTATTTATTTATTTTTATTTTCATAACAAGATTTTTATAAACAAGATAATCTTATAGGTTTTCTCCAAAGTCTTGACTGTTTAGGCCGGAAATAATCTAATTTTTTCGGAAATTAGACTATTTTCGACCGTTTTCCCTTAATTTTCTTTAGTTTTGCAATTTATGTTTCAATAAATCTACAAGAGTAGTGTAGAATTCGTTTGTCTCCCTATGGAGGAGTGTCTCCCTATGGTGGAGTCGTTAGTTTTTGTTTGTTTATGTTTAGGGTTTGTTTGTGTGTTAGGGTTTATAAAAAATGGTAATAATTTTTGGCCCTATTATCAGTTCGTTGGTAAAGATTTGTTCGGAATCGCAACGGTTGTCGACTTTTCAAATGCGTTCAAGTGAATCAAATGAAAATCATCCTTACGGCTACTACAAATCGTTAGAACGTCTCTCCGAAAAGGCTGTATATTCCAGCGATGTATGCGAGAGATGTACCACAATGCAAAATATATTTAACGATCGTAGCTTTTACGAGGAAACCCTAATTTGATTCAATTTTATGAATTTATTAATTTAGATTTCATTGTTAATGTCGTATGACTTTTTACTAATGAAATTGATTTGTTTTAAAAAAAAATATATATATAAGATTTTTAATATAAGAGGTGTTGTAGAAAAATCGAGATCTTGACAAGGATGAAAAAGTCAATATTCAAACAATTTGATGACAAGGCTTGCCTTATTGGATTATCCATGTCATAATTATTGCCAAGCTAGAATAATAACCAATGTAATCTAGAATTAGTTAAGTTATCCCCAAAAAATAATAATAAAAAAAAAGAATTAGTTAAGTTAATCAATGTCAATTAATAAATAAGTCATGGATAGCGTTTGTTAATTTTCAAATTGAATACAATTTCTGAATTTCTTTCATGTATATAATATGTTAGAATAATTAATGTCATCTAAAATTAGTTAAGTTAATCAATTAATTAATAACTAAATTTCATTGATCGCGTTCATTAATTATCAAACTGAATACAATTTTTGAATTTCATTCATGTATGTAATATGCTACTCTTTCGAGTTTCTCTAAATAACTTTTGGTTTTGGATCGTGTTGATTAGAAGGTCAATAATCCAATATGTAATATTCTGAAACGTTGGAGTTTTTTTCACTATACATTTATTAGATTTAACTATACTTTTTTACTAACGTAATAAAAAATATATATTATAAGATGGAGGGAGTATGATTACACTAAATGATAGAGATTGATTTTTCATGAACGGTCACATTCACATTCTAATTAGTTACCATATACGTGTAGTTGTATCTTTATCTAACATGGTGTTTTTGGAGCCGCCATTTTCAACCTTTGTTTCTGCCAAAAAGCCACAGATCTAGACTTTATATTATATACATCATTTTCAATACAAAAATACAAACTTGTCAACAACTCCATGCCACTTGCCACCGTTTTGTAATAATAATAAACCGTACGCCCAAAATCGCTTACTTTCAGTTATATATTATAATTAATACAAACACTACCAAATCTTTGTTAATTCATTCACAAAAATTAGAAAGAGAGAGTAAAAGAAAAGAGGGATTTTTCAGAAAGATTAAAAGAAGAAATGGGTAGTTGTGAAAATGTAAAAAATGGTAAAAAATTGGAGGAAATGGTGAGAAAAATAGAAGAGGAATTCTGGGTACCAGTTGAGTTGCTGAAAGAGTTGAGTGATGACATGGTGTTGATGATGCAGAAAGGTCTAGAAGATGAAGAATCTAGCTCTATTAAGATGCTTGTTTCTTATGTTGATTCTCTCCCTTCTGGGTATCTTTCCTTTCTTCAATCTTCTCTTTTCAATAATTTTTTTTCTTTTTTTAACATTACATTGATGATGAAATGTTATTATGGATTATTGTTTTTCATATGTGAAATTGACATTGACCCCAAAAGAAAATTATTAATGAAAATACTTTCACATGGTTAAAATGTAACATGGTCTTGTGAGTTGTGAGATCGTTTATTGTGTATCTGAGACTCTGAGTACACTAGCTAATGATATTTATATTTAAATTTAATGTCTATTTAAAAATCTTCAAATGAGCAAAAAAATTATTCGAATCACCTAAAAATTTATGTGTTTGAAGATTTTTTGCACGCTTAAATTTGGGTGATTGCTCATGCTATGATGACAAAGCATGCCATTATAAAGATTATGTCAAACTATTTTATTTATTCAATATTATTATTTAATTTTTTTTTTGAAGCATACTGTACCATTTTAGAATTTAGACCCTTGACGGTGGATTATTTGTAGCTTAGATTATAATATATCATTAACCATTAACTGGTGCTCTTCTGTTTCAGACTTTTCTATATGGTGGTGGACCATATTATTTTTCTATGTTCATATGATATGATTTCTAATATAGATTTGATGGTTAATTATAGGCAACCTTTGTTGGAATCTTATTGAATTTGATTACTTTTCGCCGCCTAAACTCTTTAACCATCAATCATTTTCCAACAATTATATACAAAGATTCCATTACTCAATGGCCATATTTTTCTGTCATTTGTTTAATTGTTAATTTGTTACTCTGTAGTTTCCAAGATATATCATCAATGATTTTTTTTGGCCATGTGAGGTTGTAATGCGCTCTATAGGGAGTATGATACACATTATGCTCCCTACTTCCCTAGTTTAGGATTTGATTTGCGTCTAGAGGATGCTAGGGAAATGGTACAAGATTTGCCTTATAGATTGTGGTCAATAATCAAAGGGTGTCATCTGAATTTTAGCAAATATATGTCCATCTTATGGAAAAGCCAATATACAAGGACATCATATGTAATTTCCTGTTAATTTATAAAAATATTCATTATTCTTTATATGATGATTGTAATGTTAGATGAGTCTCTTTTGCCCTCTTCTAATTTTAGAGACAATGTTCTAGCAAATGTGGACCAAATAGGATGAAATTATGAGGTTTACTAAATTTGCTTAGTAAGTAATTGCATATGCTTGTTAACTACTGGAAAACAATAATATAACTCATTAACAAGCTGTAATGCCACAATGCTTTGTAATAATGTCAGCCTCCTAAATAAGGTCTTCGGATGGTGATTGGGTGGGACTTGGGTACTAAACTAATCGCGTCATTGCTTTTGCGGCTTTTTATAACTCCACCTAGCAACACCTACCCCCCTATACCAGCATATGTTTAATACTAAATATCTTTGCTGTATTTTAGTCTCAAATTGTTAACAATTACATTTGCTGTGAGGTTAGTGACTGTCTTTTAGGCACCGTTTAATATAATCGCTGCTATCTGATACAAAGTGTCGCTTGATACGTCAGATGTCTCATTTCTATGACTAATGTTGAAAGGTAATAGTTATGAGACTTATGACAACAGAAAAAACAAAAAATGTAAAATACGAGTAGTAATTGTAGAATGATTTAAAATATTTTTTGGATGCCTTTAAATAAAAAACATAATTGCCATCTGATTTGAAAGTGTTATCCTTAAGTTTCATCTCTATGAGCCTATGACTACGTAGAAAAGTAATAGATATGGTGTATATATATTCATGTAAAATAGTAATTGTGAAATGAAAAAGGACATTTAAAGCTGGATAATCCAAGGTAAGAAGTAAACAATTGAAGTAAGACCAGGCAGTACAAAGTTGCTAACACAGTACTTGTTAAAATGGCTGCCATGTTGCTATGCTCAACTCCTCATAAATTCTATTTTCTGATACAGGGTATTTGATTTACAATGTTAACGATTTCTGTCTCCCTTGCTGCTACTGTATGTAGTAATTTAATGTGAGTGGTGTTATTGTGGCTGTTGCCTTTCAGCCATGAAGAGGGATGCTTTTATGCATTGGACTTAGGTGGGACAAACCTTCGTGTGATGCAAGTTAAATTGCAGGGAAATAGGACTATTGAATTAAAAGCCGAGTCTTATATGGTACCTCCTAAGATAAAGATTGGGAAATTACATGTAAGTAAAATCAGTTTCCCTTCTCGTTTGGAGGATATTGTTAGATTCAAATTACTATGGAGTTTAAGTTCTGTTATCTCAGACATTGACGTCTAGTTCTGATCTCAGGAACTCTTTGATTATATAGCGGAAAAGGTTTCACATGTTTTTGAATCGGTAAAAGCTGATTTTGATACTGTTCCTGGTAAGAAGAGGGAGCTTGGTTTTACTTTCTCATTCCCGGTGCACCAAACAAGGATAAACTCTGGAACTCTCCTTGATTGGACAAAGGACTACGATGCAAAAGATGCTGTAAGTCTCTTATGCCTTTTTATACGTTCCAATGTACCATGTTTAGCTACATGCATTTGGCTGAAAGGCGGTAAATATGAAATGTCTGACATTGGAAATAGTAGCAAATGAGATTAGAATGTGGCAAAAGTATAGTTAATAATATATTCTCTGGACACAATTTTTTTTTTTTAATAGTCTGAAACAATGTTTGCAGATCTTTTTGAAATGTCACGTCTTGCTTTTTATGTAGCCTAAAGTCGAGAGTTATCCAAGCACGCCACAGCTTCTACTTCTACAGCCAATTTGACACAGTCTTAAATTTAGGGAATTCATATCAATTTTTATCTGGAATGTTTCATGTGAGTGCCGGCGGTCATGTATCTCTATAAACAAGCCCGTAGTATGTGAATAACTTACGGGTCCGCATTAGTCTAGCTATAACATTTATAGATGATGGATCTGGTATTAGTTTCAGGTCCCTGGACTTGTATAGTGGTATCTCTATCTGTATATTTTATCTGAAACTGTCTGTTAAATCCTAGTTCATATCTAGTATCTAATTGAAAGCTTATAACAATGTAAGTAGAAAGTTCCTTGGATAAGATAAAACGTAACTGAGAAGAAGTGTACTGCAGGCATGAATGGCCTACTGGTACACGTTTGCTTTCATCTACTTCGTATTTCCTCACTACTTGCATTCGGATTCTATATATACTTATATAGGTCCTTAAATGAAACAATCATAGTAGTATACTGAACAGTATGTAATTGATTGCATCATTGAGGGGGATGAGTCAGCACAGCTCTGATAGATCTCTCCCATCCATTATTTTTATTTTTATCCATCCAATATTTGCTTGAAACATGAACATATAAATTGATATTTGATCATCTTAAACTGATTAGATTGGCAAAGACATGGTGGTGGAGTTGTCGAAGGCTTTGGAGAAACGGGCTATTGATGTAAATGTAACTGCTTTGGTAAGTTAAACTACTACTTTTATCAGTCTACTTTTTCTGTCAAAATATTCTTTTCTGAACTTCAGAAGTTGCTAACTTCTATCTGGTTACCAGCTCAATGATACTGTTGGCACTTTGGCCGGAGGTCGATTTAACAACAAAAATGTTGTTGCAGCTGTGATTTTGGGTACTGGTATGAATGCTGCTTATATAGAACAGTCTGAACGCATTTTGAAGCCATATGGTCTTCCACCAAAATCAGGACAAATGGTAACTTTACCTTCATTTTCCTGAGTTTTACATTACAAAAAACTGTTTTGATCTGTATAATGAGATGGCTTTTGTTTTGGGTATTAAAACATAGGTTATCAACACGGAATGGGGCAATTTCAATTCTTCACTTCTTCCTTTAACTGACTATGATTGTGCATTAGACAGTGATAGTCCGAACCACCACAAGCAGGTGATTGTTATTGTAAGCGTATTTTGATGATCAAATTATTGGTAATCTTGCATCTGCTGAAGAATTCAAAACAACATTATATTTCAGATTCTAGAAAAGATGCTTTCTGGTAGATATTTGGGAGAAATTGTGCGGAGAATTTTGTTAAGTTTAGCTGATGATGCTGCACTTTTTGGTGACATTGTTCCTCCAAAACTTCGACAACCTTATGTTTTGGGGTATGTGTGAGAATTTCAATCAGTCTTCTTCAGTGGACAATTTGTCATGTTATTTTATTGCAACATATTTTTGAGGTCTTATTCACTATGGGGTATGCAGGACGGATATTGTTTCAGCAATGCATGGTGACAAATCCACTGACTTGAGTGTGGTTGGGAAATGCCTAGAGAAGGTTTTAGAGGTATGTTTTCTTAAATATTCATGCAGGCTTCTTACTACTGAAGTCCCTAAGCATGTTCATCTTTGTTACTGTTACTGCGAGTCATCAATCTATCTTTCTGTACCATACTTGTACTGGACATGATGCAACCACATTATATAAATGTGATGTTTAGGTGATGATAGTTTAAGCTTGGTTTTTCTACTTGAAGAACACTAATTTGAATCTACCGAAACCTATTTGGAGTTGTAAATTGAACTTGGTAGCCTTTACTTGAACTATGTTTTTTGTTAATAATTGTGTTTATGGGATTAAGGCTTTGATGATTGAGTGAAGTACTCACAGATGAAGCATTGAGGTTTAATAAATATATATCGTATTTCTTTCCCTCAATGCTTCAATATCACAAAATTCTTTGTATTTTCTGTTTGACTTAATGTAATGATCAAGTGAAAGGTTAGTTAAAAAGTCAAATGACATACGGAGTAAGTATTTTGCTGCTCTTATCACAGTAAGCAATATATACTCAGAAAAGAAAGCTCATCTATTTTAATTTGCTTAGAGTGATTAAAGTAAGCTTATGATCAAAAGATGTAAATGAAGTTGAGGTCTTCCATCATCTAACTATATTGTGATTATCATCTCTCTGAAACTTAGATAACTAATGTATCCCTGGAGAAGAAGAAGGTAGTTGTCAAGATATGTGAAGTTGTTGCTACACGAGGTGCTCGACTTTCAGCTTTTGCAATACTGTCCATCCTTAAGATGCTAGGCAAAGACAAAACGAGTGCAGGGGAGACTGTAGTTGCTATAGATGGGTCATTGTTCGGGAAATACGAAGAGTTCAAACTTTGCTTACAGAAGACTCTTGCAGATGAATTACTCGATGAAGAAGTGTCAAAGATGGTTGTTCTTAGACAGTTCAAAGATGCCTCAGGCATCGGTGCTGCTGTAGTTGCTGCTTCACAGTCGATTTACGATTGATAAAACTAGCATTTGTTTGGTGGATTTAGTCTAGTACTTCGTACATATTAATGCTGTTCAATAATTCTTGCTGTTAATTGTAACAAAAAATTTCTTTTACAATTTAAACCATTATTTCCCCAGATTATATAGTGAATGCAATGCAGTTATCTTTGACTTGATAACTTGTGCATTCATTATATTTGAAATTCGTGGGAAGTGCAAATGTTAATAATTCAGATATGATGTAATTTTTGTTACCAAGTCTAAATTGTCACTCCTTAAGTGTAAAATAAATTAAAATTGAATTTGTTATAGTAGACAATCAAATTTATGTATCAGTATTTGATTGAAAAAAAAAAAAACAAAAAAATTAGCTTTCATATTTCGACAAGCGCCCTCTAAATGTTTTTATGCATTGATCGCAATAGACTTTTGATTTGTAACTCGGTTAAAACTTATTTTTACCGAATATTATTCATTTTAAGACGAAAGAGGCCTAAGTCTTTGTTTAATTTTTTTGTAGCATGAATTTTGCAGCCACCATCTTCCATCCTTTGTTTTTGCCGCCCCATTAATATAATTCCATGCAGTTGCCATTTTTTATAATACATCCAAAAAAGGGTCACATATAAATATTAGGGAATCTACAAATGCATTAAGAAGGTTTTTAAAAGAGAGCCAAAAAAAAAAAAAAAAAAAAAAAAGCTTAGAAAAATTGAAGAATAAAAGATGAGTGATTGTGAAATTGGGAAAAATGGGGTGAAATTGGAGGAAATGGTGAAGAAAATAGAAGAAGAATTCTGGGTATCAGTTGAATTGCTGAAGCAGTTAGCTAATGAAATGGAGTTGATGATGAGAAAGGGTCTTGAAGATGAAGATTCCAGTTCAATCAAAATGCTTGTTTCTTATGTTGATTCCCTACCTTCTGGGTACTTTTTTTCACTTTTCCTTTGTTTTTAGTTGTATTAAGTATCAATATATACAAATTTTTGACTTTTTGTTATTCATCATTAGTAATCACTCTGATTCGAAAATCGAGGAAAACGAAAAAAAATGAATGAGTACATGTAAGAAAAAGGTAAATAAAGTGTTTGGAGATGAGTAAAAAGGTGGGTGAGTGTAAGAACTAATTGGATGAATGAAGAGATATAGTGGGTAGGTGATCATTATTCAATTGTTTGACTTGAATTTGATTTGACTTGAAAACGAATCAAATAACTCATTGATCATAACTACTTAGTAGAATTAGACCCAAACCAGACTGGAATTGAATGAAATTGATCCAAACAACCCCGTCACCTCATTTTATTGAAAAATCTAGTCTAACATGCATTATTTTTTCATATTGTGGACATATGCCATCCATTTTCTGACCCTTTGAGTTGATGGTGGGTGGATTTGATATTTCTTTGTAAGACACTTGATTTTGTTTATTAAAATCTGAATATGAACGTGTGTGCGCGTGCGCGTGCGGCGTGTGTACTAGTGATTATGAATTTATGACATCAATGACTTTGAAAATAATGTTGCTATAGTAAGAAGAAAAACCATTGATATGAGACAGGGAACTACAAAGTTGCTACTTCCTCCGTCCCATAATATAGTTTCTATTGTGCTTTTTTCACGGTATTCAAAAGTTAGAGAGAGAAAGTGGAAAAAGTACAATGCAAGTAGATAATTTAAGGGTAAATTAGGAAGTTCAATGAATAAAGTTAAAAAAAAAGGGTATAATAGTCTTTACATATTATCCAAAAATAGAAACATAAATAACATTTTGAGTTTCCTAAATAGGAAAACAGGAACTATATTGTGGGACAGAGGGAGTAAATTATAAACCATCATTGGTCAATTGTACACATTGGTAATCTCTTGTCCTTAGAAGTTTGAACTTAAATATCCAAATATGTGTTTTCAATAGAATGGAGCAGGAATCATGATTAAAATTTTGTCTTTCGTGTATTAATGTACATTTACATGTCGTATGATTTTTTATTAATGAATAAATTTTAATTTCAGTAAAAATGTCTTTCTTGTTGTTTGATACCATATGTAGTTAAGTAATGTAGGCAGTGTTCTTGTCATTGTTGTCTTTCAGTCATGAAAAGGGATGCTTTTATGCATTGGATTTGGGTGGGACGAACTTTCGTGTGATGCGTGTTAAATTGCAAGGAAATAGGACCATTGATCTTAAATCCGAATCTTACAAGGTGCCTCCTAACATTAAGGTTGGGAAGTTACATGTAAGTAAAATCTGTCTCCTTTTCGTCATGAATAAATTGTTGGTAACTATAACCTATGCTTTCTCAGACATATGACAGGGTAATGATTTCAGGAACTCTTTGATTATATAGCGGAGAAAGTTTCTTATGTTATTGAAATGGATTCTGATTCGGCGACACAACCTGGTAAGAAGAGGGAGCTCGGGTTTACTTTCTCATTCCCTGTACAACAAACAAGGATAAACTCCGGGACACTCCTTAATTGGACAAAGGACTTCGATGTGCAAGATGCTGTAAGTCTTTATGCTTCAGTAGTTCAGTGTAACGTAATTTGTTCCGTATAATGACTAGTGAGTAGTCTCCTTTCTCATCGCCGTAGTTTAGGGAGCTGAAAATATATTTGTTGATCATTCTAGAATTGAATACTGCCATTTGCTTGTTATATACAGCCCTAAATTCAAGCACGCTGTAGCTTTTGTTAATCAGTTTAATTGAGGCCAATTTATACTAGGTCATACCTTATGTGAATTTAGGCTTTTGTGTGATTTTTTTATTTTATTTGGGAAGTCCATGTTGAAAGCTTCTCTATCAACAAGTAATCTGTTCACCTTAAATTAGTTGTCACATTGTCCCAACCCTTCATAATTAAAGTGATTTTATTTTTTGTTTCTTTTCATTGATTTATAACTGACTATTAACTTCGAATGGAGGAGTATGTATATTTACACAATCGGCCTTGATTACACAACATCTTTAAGTACTAAAAGTAGCTCCAGTCCTCTGGACTTTATTAGACTTATCATGATAGGGGTACTTCATCTGCATGTCACAAACCCTAAATCTGATAAAATAGTGTTCATATCTAACATTTAATAAAATTGTAAGCCTGCAATTAACTTAATAATTGGTCCATAACTGAAACAAACATAATAATTAGAATGCTAATTTGTGAATTTTCTAAGAAGACAGCTCTAGCGATATAGTTGCTTGATGTCCATCCAAAACTTATTTCGCTTGGTTTATGAACATTTCAATCTGACATTATATCATCTGACCGATATTAGATTGGTAAAGACATGGTGAAAGAATTGACAAAGGCTTTAGAGAAACGAGCTATTGATGTTAATGTCACTGCTTTGGTAAGTTAATCTCCAATTTTACTTGTAAACCAGTAAACTTTTCTGCATTTTCCCCCTCTGAGAATTTCAGGAGTCACTGACATCCATATGATTATCAGCTCAATGATACTGTTGGTGCTTTGGCTGGAGGAAGATTTTGCGATAACAATGTTGTTGCAGCTGTAGTATTGGGTACTGGAACGAATGCAGCTTATGTAGAACAGTCAGAAAACATTGTAAAGGCGTATGGTCTTCCACCAAAATCAGGACAGATGGTAACATTACCTTCTTTCCGAGTTTTAGAAGATAACTTTGACTCGGTTTGGATGAATTACTAATTGTGTCAGATGTAGGTTATTAACACAGAATGGGGTAATTTTAACTCTCCACTTCTTCCTTTAACTGACTACGATTATGAATTAGACAATGATAGTCCAAACCACCACAAGCAGGTAATTATCACAAGTGTAATCTGAATTTCGATGATCAAATTGATAATCTTTCATATTCTGAAACCTTCAAATCACTATTATCTATCAGATTCTAGAAAAGATGCTTTCTGGTAGATATTTGGGAGAAATTGTGCGTAGAATTTTGCAGCGACTAGCTGATGATGCTGCGCTTTTTGGTGACATAACTCCTCCAAAACTTCGACAGCATTATATACTGGCGTATGTGGGGAAATTGCAATCAGTCCTTTTATCAGGACAAATATAATTGTCATGTTATGCGGTTCCAATGAGCCTAAGTTTTTCACTTTGGAATGCAGGACGTATAATGTTGTAGCGATGCATAGTGACAAATCCACTGACTTAAGTGTGGTTGGGAAATGCCTGGAGGAGGTCTTTGAGGTATACCTTCTTATCAATAATGCAAACTTTTTACAATGGAATATCTTTTCGTGCTTTTCCCTGTTTCTTAGTACTCCTTTGTCCCTAAACATGTTTACCTTCAATATTGGTATTGCAAATTATTCATTCTCCAGTCTGCACCCGTGCTGGACATGATGCGACTGCATTATATAAACATGAGTACTTGGTAATGATGATTAAAGCTTTGTTATTTGACTTGAAAAGCATTGATTTTATTTTATCTTGACTTATTTTAGTTGTAAATTGCAGTGTAGCGTATTTTTCCTGAAACTTTGTCTTGTTAAGGTGAGAAGGACAACTATAAAATACTATTCGGTGCCATCTTTAAAAATACTTGACCAATGTCCTCCCAAAATCTAAAGCAAGTTTCGTAAGTGCTAATTAAATTCAGTCCTGTTAAGTCAAATGACATTGCTGTAAAATGTGAGATTGCAATTGCAATGGAATCCCTGAAACAAAAGCTCTATGCACTTAGGTTTGGTTATTTTCTAAGAATCCTTGACTCTTTTGATGAACCTTATAGTTTTCAGGGATCGGTTTAAAGGCCTCCACCGCCTAATTATATAGATTTATCATTTATGTTTATGATCAAAAGAAGCAATACAGAAAATCCTGGATTTCTGCATCCAACTGTTATTGTAATTGTCATTTTTCTGAAATTTAGATAACCAACTTATCCTTGGAGAGGAAGCAACTTGTTGTCAAGATATGTGATATTGTAGCTACACGAGGTGCTCGACTTGCTGCTGCTGCTATACTGGCAATCCTGAAGAGGTTAGGCAAAGACATAACCAAGACAGAGGAGACTGTAGTTGCTATTGATGGGTCACTGTTTGGCACATACAAAAAGTTCAAATCATGCCTGCAGAAAACTCTTGCTGAGGAGTTGCTCAATGAAGACGTATTGAAGATGGTCGTTCTCAAGCAGTTTAAAGATGCCTCAGGCATTGGTGCTGCCGTTGTTGCTGCTTCACACTCGATTTACACTTGATGATACTACCAATATATTTGGTCTAGTGGTGTATATGCTAAATTTGTATGCTAATACAGCTATATTACCTTGCATACTTTCCTACTTTAATTTCCTACAGTATGATGTGAGGGGGTAGTGTAAGCCTAAAAGTTCAATTTTAGAGTGAAAATTAAAGGCAGCAAACTTTTCATTGCTATTTGATGTGAGTCTATCATGATCCAAAAAGTACAAAATAAAATGGACAAAAGTTTTCCTATTACAAGATTACTGATATGCTGAGTTGAAAGATTGACATAAAAAGCTAATTATGCACATCTGATGTGTTTAGTTCATTGGATTTTCATTGAACTGATATAATTCTTCTTTTGAATGTTGTGATGGATCTTTTTAATTTAATTTGATTTGATTTGATATAATCTAAATTAATAAATTTTTTATTGGTGAACTTGATGTCTTCTTTGGTCTATTATGATTTGATTTGGTCTAACTACCCCTACACGACTGCTTCACCTCTTCATACCATGTAGATTAGGAGCACCAGAATTTCCCGCCTCTCGTGGAATAACCATGCGTAACCCGCGCATTTTTTGTTAATCCAATCCCCACTACGAAACAACCGTCAAACCATCAGCAAGGTCATTCCTCACACAACTCGTGCTTTGTCCCCAAGTTAGCTCGTTAAACACATTGAGAATGAGAGGTACAGGTAAGGGGATCTCAACTCTCAAAGTGCCCCTAGTGGGATTAGATTTTCCACCTCAAGGTTAGCAGATTCTTTTCTTACCACTACCCCAATACTTTGTTAGTAACCTAAGTTCCAATTTTTTATTTTTTTATTTATTTTATTTATTAATTTTATTTTCTTACAAGAAAGTTCCAATTACATTGGACCATCTTATAGATGTACATATCCCAACTGTATTACTCATTCTATTTTAATTTTTTTTTGTAACCAAACATACTACCTTTCTGCTCACACTTGAAAGAATATATATCTACCATTGTTGAAGAATTGAATCCCAATTGTATTACCTTTAGAGCATGTTTGGTTAGAGTGTTTTTTGGGTGGAAATGGATTCAATTAAACCGTTATCATTACTAAGTGTTTGGTTAGAAGGTTTAGGTAGCAATTACCATTACCATTACATAAGGGTAATGGTTTCCACTATTTGTTATCTCTCTAAAACTTAAGGTAACAATTATCCTTACCCGGCCTCCTCCAACAAAAAGAAAAGGAGCTATGATTAAGTGATTCCATTTCATGGTTAAACCAAACAAATGGAAAGGTAAGTGTTAAATAATTCCTTTCCTCCCTCTTATTTGTTTTCTTTCGACTCCATTTCCAATATCTATACCAAACGCCCCCTTAATGTTTTTGTTTAACTAAAAAATAATTTAATTGGTATTTTAGTTTGGTTTATGTTGCTTGTTGTCTTGATTTAATCATGTTAGCAATGATCTAATCTAAAGGTTGGGTGACTCCTACTGTGTAAGGATGCATTAACTACTCTCTTTCTCTGTCACCCTTTTGTTACGTCATTTATGTTGTTTTTGCCAATTCGTATGCCTTTTTGCCTCCAAATTTGTTACTCATGATTAATGATTATAATTAATTGAGGTAGTTGAATTAGTTACTTGGATATAGAACTAGGGAAAGGGTAGTCTTAAAATAATTTGGATTACTTTGGTTCCTCGAGTTATTTGAAAATTCGTAGTGTTTAAAATCTAATTTTAATAACACAAACTTTTATATGTGGCTGGCCACACCGTGTGACCAATCATTATGAGGGTTACTTTGTTAGTGTTACAAGGGTTACTCACTGGGCCAGGGGTTATTAAGTCAGTTAGGGGTTACTCGGTCAGAGATTACTTGATCAGGGGTTACTCACTCGGTCAGAGGTTACTAAGTCGGTCAGAGGATACTCGGTCAGGGGTTATTCACTCGGTTAGGGGTTACTAAGTCAGTCAGGGGTTACTTGGTCGGTTAGGGGTTACTCGATCGGTGATCAGGATTACTTGGTGTGTGTCAGCTGGCCACACAGCTAGTGTGGCCAGCCGCACACAAAAGTTGCTATTTCAATAATGCCAACAGACGAATTTTGATTACCCATGACCGTTGTAGACTTGTAGTCTTGCTTGGCAATTAGATTGAATTTTGATCAATTTTAAAAGTTATTTCCTTGTTATGTATCCGACCCTAATCCTTACATTATGCTTAAATTAAATATTATTTCTCTCATACGAATGATGATCACTCCCCTAAATCACGTGACTTGGGGAGATTAGCTGCACGGTTCAACGAAGAAGTTCAGCGTTGGAAGACTTGATTTGATTTTTTACTAGTCATGATTTTTTTTAGTCGGGCTCGCGGAGTCAGATTGCTTAATAAAATATATTTTCGAAAATGGAAATGGACCAACGAGTCCAAATCACCCCTATGCCGTGTGCGATAGGCTTTTTAAGCCATCCGAGTTCGTTAGGGCCCGAAAACATCGTTTAAACATTTTCCAAATCTTAATTTTTGCTTAATTTTCATATTAGGGCTTTGTTTAGACTATTTAAACGTTTTTAGCGTCTTTAGAAATCAATTTTGACATTATAATAATATTCTTGAGAGTTTACCCTTTTTCGGTGGATTCCGGAGTTTTTACAGATTTATCCCTTGTAAATTTGTTTGTTCGTATTAGGAATGAGTTATATTGATTATGAGTTATATATCATTCCATCGAGCATTGGAGCTATCTGTTTTACACAAAACTCGGCAATAATCAAGCGCAAAGATGAATGAATGTTTGTGAATTTGTGATGAATAATAAGCAATTAGCTTAAGCCAGTTATTACCCTCCACTTTCTATAGAAGACTTGCACACTATTCTTAGACACTTTGTGCTAGCTAGAATGGACGTTGCTTTGAAGCTTTAGAGTGGAGCCCCAAGTAGTTATATTTACGTGTTTGGTCTCAAACAAAGAATAAAGACACATGTTTAGTTCACTTAAATAGCAAAGTACACCTAATAAAAGTTGCGGAGTACTATCTGAATATAAATTTAGAATATGCCTTGAATTATTTATTAGCCCTCTTTAAACGACTATGACTAGGGTCTTGCTTAGGGTTTAATTAACCTAATCACTATTCTGTAATTATGTGTTCTTTTGTTTTTTTTTTTTTTAAAAAAAACCTGTAATTATGTGTCCTTATTTGTTGATATCTTTAATTTTTTTTGCTTACGTTATATCATGTGAAGTACTCTCTCTGTTTCATAATGTTAGTCCCATATGGAATCAATCACATAAAATAAGAAAAGAAGAATATTTGGAATCTAACATTAAAGTACAAAATAATTCATAATTAGTTTACCTTATTTAATTTTTTGATTTTTTTTTTTGGGAAATCATTAGTCATAATTGCATAATTCAAAAATTGAGTTAAAAATGGAACATATTCAATATGGGTAAATCTTTTTTAAACGCCCAAAATAGTATATGGGACTAACATTATAAAACGGAGGGAGTATTATATTAGCAATATGTGATAAAACAGATAGCTCGAATGCTCGATGGAATGATATATAACTCATAATCAATATAACTCATTCATATTACTTGGTGAGAAGCTCAAATCTAAAGAGGCAAGCAATTAAGCTCTAATAATTGAGCCTTGAAAAAACATAAAATTCTACCTACCTTGCTCAAAAGTATATTGAATAATGATCAAACAATTTAAAACCAAAAAAATTTCAATACAAGCAACATGTACTAAAACAATAATTTAAAGTAAGTCCCAAAAATATAAGTTGAAAGCTAGAGTACACTCGTATTAGAAAATCTCATTAAATAACCGGAGTATACTTCAATATGGAGCTGAGAATTATGGGCCAAGATAACATAAATGATCTGACCTGACACGAGTCCATCATATATAGTGAAGTTTACAGAAAATATAAAATTTATATATAAGAGCATTCGTTGGTATGATACAACACGACCCGATACAACATATGGGTAGGGCCATGTATGGCCTCCGGTTTATGAAAGTTTAACACTAACCAAACATGAGATACACGACTTTTTTTCAATTAGTTTCAGCCATGATAATATGACATGCTTAAATGCATGACACAATGGCACAACAGGTGGGCTTACACGGCCTAACCCATACCTAGCTTTAGTTCATTATTATCAAGTTTCACTTATGCTAAACTTTTGAGTCGACTCTGTTTAAGTACTTCATATATAATTGTCTCAAAAAAAAAAAAAAAAAAACCTCATATTTTATTGGAGAATAAATTGTTAATGTCAATTTATGTGTGAACTTTGAAGTTCAACAACCAATAATATCTATCTTATAATAGAACAAACGTCAAACATTGAAACTTATTAGGAGCAAGAAAACATAAGATTAAATTCATCAGTGTGCATATGATTATGTAGTCGAAGATGAGGGGATCACTATGAACCCCATTTGTCATTTTCTTTGCAAGGTATAATTATAAAGGCATTCTAAAGTACAATGAATATAATGCTGAAAATATAGGCCAATTCGATCAAGTCCTTTCATTTTCATACATTGGTCCATAACGTGCGCAATACCGAAGTAGATATCACCTTGTCCTTTGCTTCATTATGTATTGATTCCTTTTGTCGTCGATTTTGTGATTCCTTATTCCACCACTTCTAGAGTTTTTGTGTTATGCTATTCAAGTCGCTTTCTCTATAAGAGTACAATTTTCCGTCTCGCCATAACATTAATCGATATTTTCTCGGTTTCTCCATTTCTTAACAAACAAATTATGTTTCATATGATAATAAGAGGAATTCTAGGACTCTAGCTATTAGAGTCATCCATGACTCTAATAAGGGCAGAAAGGTAAATTCAAATTAAGCAATTATTAAAAACATTAAGGTAAAACAAAAAAGAAAAAGCAAAACAAAATCTGTAAAAAAATGCCCTATTCAATTTTTTGTTTAGTTTAGAACAAAAATTAATTTCTCAAAAAAGAAATTTTGGCAAATTGAGTTCTTCGTTTTGCTATTTCCTCAAACGGAGGTCTCAACATGTGACAAATTTTGGCGCCAAAACATGGTAGGAACAACAGTTAGTGCTGTTCTTGTTCTATCTTTTGCTGTTGATGGTATTTTTTATATGATACCAACGAACTTCTTGATGGTATTCTTTTAGATACCAGCAACCCTTGATGGTATTCTCCAACAATCCTTGATGGTATTCCTTTTTTCTATTTGTCGTTGATGGTATTCTTTTAGATACCAAAACTTGACGAGATGTTACATGTAGGCCGTAATAGGTATGGACTTGAGCTTTAATTTTGGCCGGAAACGATCGTCTTTATTAACAGGAATGTCGCCGGAGATATTCAAGCAATTTAAAGAAAGAGAGAGAGAGCGAACTTTTAGAGAGAGGGCGTAATTTTAGAGAGAGAAACTACGGGGAGAGTACCAAGGCTTAATGTGCTGTCGTTTTCCCCTTTTTTGTTTTTCTTTAATTTAATGAGTTGTCCTATTCCACTTTTTTTTAATACTGTCCTTTTCCAAGCCTTGGTTTTTGGTTTTTCTTTTCAATTTCCTTTTTTTTTATTTTTTTATTATTATTTTTTATTCAAGTGGGTAAACAGTGAAAGGATGGTTATGCCCTTGTTAGAGTCATGAATGACTCTAATAGCTAGAGTCCTAGAATTCCTCATGCTAATAATGGAAGAATAAAGCAAATAGAGAGATGTGATGTCAATTTTATCTAAAATTGAATATAAAGGAATTGTGTCTGTAACGTGATTTATGGAATTCGCAATTGTTATCAACTTAAAGAAAGCGAGTGTGTGATTTAATTATTCACATATAGACCTGGCAAACTAACCTGTACTTGAAACTACTAACCCCACCCAGATTGAATGACTTGATTGTCACCTCTATTATAAAGTCAATTATCTTTATAATTGCTTAGTGATACCATCAACCCAAGTCAAGGGGGAATACTATGTTAAAGCCCTACATGGTGATAGCCAGGTCAATTTGTTTCAAAAATTGGTTGGGTTTTATGCATTCAAATAGGCTTAATTAACGTGAGATCGAGTTGGTTCCTTTAAACATATACACTCTCTATAACTGTCAAAAAGGTTTCGTAACCTTAACATAATTATTGTACTTAATTATGTTCAAGACATTTTACATCAATGGGTGTATTGTATACAATAAGTTTTGTTGTTAACTTAGCCAAAATTACAAATATGATACTCCTCTTTTACAAGGTTAATTTTACATTAGTTGGATTGAAAAAGCTATTAGTAAACTAGTACATGCACGTCTTCACCTTTATCATACTAACACTTCAATATCAATATGCGTTTTTGGGTTCTTTAGGTGCGGAGAACTCTATATCATATACGAAGTAGGAAGTTTTACTTACAAATTTACAATAGAAAAGTACATACAAGTCTTCGCCTTACTAACACTTCATATCAATGTCCATACGCGTTTTATGGGTCCGTTGGGTGTGGAGACTCGTTATTATATTAATTTGCGGCAACGAAGTGGAATCTCCACACAAATATGTTCCATATATAAAACGTATTTTTGCATGAATATGTCAGAATATTGGTGAAGTAACTAGGAATTGACAAGAAAGACAACAGTATAGAACCCACATAATTTAAGTTCGAATGATAGATTTTCATATGCTTCAACTTACATGTTACTGATCACTATATTGACAATTTGCAAGTTTTGTGGTACATCCAATAACATCACGACAGAAAGTAATATTTGAACCAATATATACATCGCGTATTCGCGTTTTTGTAAAAGTATGTTAAGGTTATTGCCTTATTGGTCATTTTCTACGATGGTATGATGATGAGTGGATCGAAGAGAAGATAATATGAAAGAATTGTCCTTTGATCAAGATGGTAGCTTCAAAATTTAATATTAGAATTTATTATGTGGTTTAAGTTATTTTACACGGTAATAATAATGTTTTGTTAAAAACCAATTATGATATGTAGGTGGTCTAAATAAAGCCTACTACTAACTATAAATCGATCTTCTTAAAATCAGTAGTTGAAAGGAAGTAATTAGCTCAATCATCATCAATTGGAGTTTCTGAGTCAGGGTTGGCATTCTGGGTTAGTGTTATTTTAAGGTCACACATAAAAAGGGGAAGTCTTGAAGCCTAAATGCGATAGACAAATAAACCTATCACAGTACCAATGAAGCACATTTTGGTACCAAAAATATTGATTTTGGTAAACCTATCACTATTATGCGCCTTGTCTTACTCCACACATAAATATGTTATTGAGCTAATTAAGTTTAATTTAAGTTTAATAAGTAAAAATCACGTGAATAAAATACACTATAACTTAATCGATAATTGCATAATATTGATTACTTAGTGGCCTGTAAAACCAGTGACCGATATTGAACAGATATTCAGAATGAGCAATTTTCTTGTAGGTGAAAATAATTATTTGCTCCATATATATATTGTTAGATATAAATCATATTCGCATCAATATACAACTATCATAATTAGGGGTGTACACCGGTCCAAAATCGGACCGGACCTGGACCGGACCTGTTTGGACCGGGGACCTGAATTGGGTAATTATGAGGACCGGGGACCGGACCTGAATTAACAGGTCCGGTCCGGGTTTGGACCTGAATGGACCTGTTTTGTGTCTTTTTCGTTTTTTTTTTTTTTTTAATACAAAACCTGTTGGACCTGCATATGGACCTGTTTTGTGATTTTTAGACCTGTTGCATAATTTAATAATTACATACAAACCAAAATTATCAATTACAAAACTACATAAAGTCTATAAAGTCCCGATTCTCAAACACCAAAAATACAAATGAGTCCACCGAAAATACAAATAAGTCCACGAAAACTCATAAAATTACATAAATTCTCTTAAGTCTCAACTCTCAACTCTCAAGTACTAGGAATACATAAATTCTCCAACGAGTTGTTTTCCCTTTGATCGCGTGATTCACACTAATGAGTCCACGAAAACAACTTCATCGTCTACATCGTTAGATTCACCACGTTGCACCTCTAAATAAAATACAATATAGAATATATTAATGATTGATAACAATGAAATAATAAATTTGGTGTAACAAAATTTCAAATACATAAAATTATTACTACCTTTCTCTATTTCCTCTAACTCTTTCAAATTTTCTTCCACATCAACAATTGGCACTTCCTTAGCTCTAAGCCAATCTTGTGTGCAAAGTAACACTTGAACCATCTTCAATACAAAAATATTACACAAATATGTATAAACAAAGTCATATTAAGATATAAACAAACTTGATTTTATAAAATAAAAAGATAACGATGCATTACCTTAGGAGTTAAACAACTCCGAAATGGATCTAGAGTACGACCTCCCGTACTAAAAGCAGATTCCGATGCAACGGTCGACAATGGTATGACTAGTATGTCACGTGCCATGCGATTAAGAATCACATAACGCTGACCATTCTTACCCCACCATGTCAATGCATCTTGTTCTTCCTCCTCCGGCCCTAATTGATCATTTAAGTACCTATCCAACTCACTTATCGCATACCCACTTGTCCCCTTCAATCGTTTTGCTCTTTCTTTTAGTTTCCTCACATAATCGGAACCCACTCCTTTACTATTATCAATATCCATTGACATATTATCTCCACAATCTGGAATATTAGAAGTAGCATACATTTTTCTATATTCCTCAAATAAAGAGTAAGCGAACTCCTTCACATCATTAGCAAGTTTTGTACCCTTTTCCGGTCCATGCATATCCGTTAGTGTCAATTCAACAATGACCATCTTAGAGTGAGGGTCGAGAAGAAGAGCAACATAAATGAACTTATTCATCTTATCCACATCCCCCCAATACTTATCAAACTTTTTTTTCATTGCAATGGCCATGGCTTGAAAATTTAAGTCCTCACTTTGTTCCCAATTATTCAACATATCATACATAGAAGCAATTTCTCCTAAACCTTTATTAGCTGTCACATAATGGGAACCAGAAATTCGTTTAGTTAACAGATAAAACCCCCCTAGAAACAAAACCAACCTCTCCACTTTTTTCCAATCTTCGGGTTCGGGAGGCCTTTCATTGTCATTCAAATCCTCTCCATCAGGAAGAGATAACCCACTAAAAACACGTCGAAACTTCAAAGCCGTTTCCAACATTATGTATGTGGAGTTCCAACGAGTGGGGACATCAAAGGATAAAGAAGATTTTGAATCTATGTTTGCTTTTTGCACAAGATCTTTGAATCTAAGTATTCTTGCAGGGGAATTCTTAACATATTTCACAGCATTTCTAACTCTATCAATGCACACACATGTTCTCTAATACCATCCCACACAATTAAATTAATGATATGAGCAATGCATCTAACATGAAGATTTTTTCCATCATATACATCCTGTTCTTCTAACCATTCTACTCAAGTGTGCACAAGCAACATCATTTGAAGAAGCATTATCAACAGTGACAGTAAAAAGTTTATCATCAATACCCCAATACTCTAAACATGCCTCAACTGCTTTTCCAATAGCCTCTCCTTTATGACTAGAAATTGGACAAAAATTTATGATCTTTTTATTCAATTTCCAGTCATTATCAATGAAATGAGCTGTAAGACACATATAATTAATTCTTTGTATTGAAGTCCAAGTATCAGTGGTCACAGAAATTCTTTGACATGTCTTAAACATTTCTCTCAATTTCTCTTTTTCACTATAATACAACTTTAAACAATCACGAGCAATGGTAACACGAGATGGAATGTGAAATTGTGGACATGCAACTTGCACAAAGTGCCTAAAACCGGGTTTTTCCACATGCTTAAATGGTAACTCATCAACAATAATCATGTGAATCAATGCCTCTCTAACATCATTCAAGTTAATAATCCTACTCCCACACTTTAATTCACTACTCTCATGTTCTTGATCAAAATACAATTTAGTTTGCTTTTCTTTGCCCTTTTCTTTTTCTATATTAATAGGATTACCGAGACATGATTCTGCATGGTTTTTAACATTTTTTGAACCATTAAGATTACCATCAGCAGCAAAAGTTTTAGGACAGAACTTACATTCAGCTTGTAGTTTTCCATTCTCGACGTACTCTAAGTAATATTTCCAATACTCAGCTTTCCTCTTACTTTTTCTGTTCCATATATATTCCCGCCCCGCTTTTAGCTTCTTATCAGGAGGCAAAGTAGATTGCAATTCTTCCATATCCTTTTCAGAAAGTGGCTGTGACGTTTGTTCAGAAAAAGAAGCAGACCGTTTGGATTGAGAGCTCTCCATCTACAATATAATTATATACAATATAAGTAATTTTAAAGTAACAATTATATACACATACCATTTTATAAAAAAATTTAAGAGCAACTTACATTGCAAGAATAAGAATCCGTGGTTCCTTGACTTCCTTCACTCCCTGCAAGAATAAAAACAAAAATAAGAACCCCTGAACTACACACAGGTTAGCCAACTTATTTAATCTTAATAATCTGAGTCCATACTTTTAGCAGCCTAGCAGGAATAAACACAAATTTTAAAGTATAAGTTAGCTTAAAAAGTGTCCATATATACACATTAGAAATATCAATACACATTAGAAATACTTTCAACTTTCTGAAATTTATGTTAAGAAAAAAATGAGAGAGGCATTGCCCACACAACACAACACAACCAACTTTCTGAAATTTATGTTAATACCCAGATCCACCACTGCCCACACAACACAACACAACCAGCTTCATTGGCAGCCCCACCCCTAGCCGCCTTCCCTGACACTCCAACCATGGAATCCACCCCACAATAGGTAGCTGGACAGTTGGAGACACGAGCTGCTGATTTTCTGAATTTGAGGAGTCGGCAGTAGAGCTACTTGCACGATGCAGGGAGGCACTAGAACTTGAAGAGTCTGAGAAAAGGTTGTCCTCGAGCGCAACAGACATTCTGAATCCACCCCCTACTTGAGATTGTGTTCGAATTGCAGTAAAGGGGGCATAAGGATCTCCTAGAGGAATAGCAGCCCTTGAGTGTATAGTAAAGGCAGTAGCAGCCCCCCTATTTTCCTCATTTAAGGCTGCTATGTTCTCCTCAATAAACCGAGTTGAATTGGGGTGATGGTATGATTCCGGAGTGGTTGGGTCTGCTATGTTCTCACTCAACCACTCCAAAACCCCCTCCAATCCAAAACACCACCCAGCCACCCCGAAAACCCATCTCCACTCTCGGTGACCCTACCAGCCACCACGAAAACCCCATCTCCACTCCCGACAACCCCATCAACATTCACAATTTTCCATCCAGCCATCCCAAAAACCCCAGCTCACCACCCCAACCCACCCCACCCCACCCCACTGCCACCCCTTAACCCTTAACCCCCACACACCAGAACCGTACCACCGTAACCCCACCATAACCCCACCCCAACCCACCCTACCACACAAATTTTCGCACTAAATTAATCTTAATAATCATAATAAACACAAAATTTCGAACTAAATTTCGCACTTGAACCCTAAACCCTAAACTTCTTAATTCTTATGAACCCTAAACTCAAAAAAACCAAAAAAAAAAAAAACAGAAATTCGAAAGAGATGAACTAAAAATAAGAAATTCAACATGCAAACATCAAACAATCATTAAAAGCAATTGAAAATTTGAAACAAGAATAAACATATAAATTCTCACACTTAATTTATTATTTCGAATTAAAAATACCAAAATTATAAGCAAATACTTACCAGATATTATCGGTGTGCATCGCCTGAGAGAATGAGGGAGGTGTCGGCAGTGGGCGGTGGCCGGAGCGAGTTGGGACAGCCGGACAGCCGCGTTGAGAAGTTGAGATTGAGGGAGGCTGAGAGTTTGGGCTTAGGGAGTTAGGGTTAGAACTTCAAAATATGAAATTGAAAGAGATTAAGGGAGGCAGAGAATCAGATATTTTCTTGTTTTTTTTTTTTTTTTTTTTTTTTTTAATTACGATTTCCCGGGTTTCAGGTCCGGACCTGAAAACCCCGGGTTTGTACCGGGAACCTGGATTTTTAAGAACTGGGACCGGACCTGAATCAACAGGTCCGGGTCAGGTCCGGTCCGGTTCAGGTCGGTTCAGGTCCGGTTTCAGGTCCGGGCCAATTTTTGTACACCCCTAATCATAATGTGTACACCTAACCGAAACTCGATCTCAAAAGAGAATTTAGACAAACCTTGCCTAAAGCTAGTTATTGGACAAAGTAGGAAAAAGTGCAAATATTCCTCAAATAGAAGCGGGAAACATTTAACATAAAAAAAACCATTAAGATTATATAAAGAGGTCCAACTAAACAGGACCCTTCACCAAAACTAGAAAGCCAAAAATAACATTATCATCATCAACCACCACCAAAATGCTACTTGTGTCTTTCACACCACTCTTTCTCTCCACCTCCGCCAAACTTAGTGGCGCCACCTACTCAACCACTACAAAGCTCGACTTCTCCGCTTTCGTCCGGCGTTAACTTCCTCCTTATTTGATCCCCAGAATTAGAAGTGTATATATCAAGGCACACAGGGTCAAGCCAGGCAAGAAATGGCCTTTATGTTATTGTTGTAGTATTACTTAATGAATTATGTAGTTTTTATTAGATTTTCCTAATTATATATACATATATATATTCTTGCAACTTAATTCTTATATATTGATCCTAATATATACTGAAGTGTACATAATTATTTTCATTACTAATAAAATTATGAATGACTATATATAATTAATTACGATCATTTAATCTTTTCAATAATTTGTTTTTTCAATTATTTATTTTTTTGGTTTGTCTGTTTATTTATATCCAGGAGATTATATATTCTTTTTCCTAGTGTTGTGTAAAGATTCTCTTCCAACCCCAAAGCTAAATTTAAATTATTATTCAATAAGAAGTATAATTTTTTTCTTAATTTTGTTTAATTTTTTATTTATTTATTTATTTTTTTATATTTTGCTGTGAAGGGAGGAAGACCTGTAGTTTTTTATGAAGAAACTTTGGTGGTAATAGAAGTATACAAATGTCGGTTCATATCATATATTCATAATACGAGTATAAGCTGTATAAGTGTATGGCCTTATTGTTTAATTTGATATTGTGAAGATTCTGTCACATGTGAAGATCTAGCACAAAAGATTTGGGTGGCTAATAAATGTTTTTTTTTGGTGTCGTATTATGTTTAATTAAACAAAAAAATTCTGTATAATCTTTTATTTCTACAATTAGACATATACTTAGCTTCAACATGCTACTATGTTATTCTTAGTAGCTTGATTCTACTCAAAAATGGTGTCACAGTAGATAGGTTTTTTTTTTTTTTTTTTTTTTTTACTCGAGGAGAAGCTACACAAATTAATTAAACCAGCAATTTATTGGGGTCGTTTATTCCATTAAGTTAAAACACTAAGCATCATTATGGATCCATTCTCTATCTCCAAAAAAATTAATTGTTTAAGTGCAATATGAACAAGTTGAAAGTTTATAGAAACAACATACTGGATATATGTTTCAGGTCAAATTTGAATTGGATTATATATTTTTGGCATATTATACACTTCAGAGAATATAATGATTTAATGGATAAGACAACAACTCAAATTTGTAAAAGTTGTCAAATGTTGAAATTATACATACAAAAGTTTTCAATTGTTGAAATTGTACATACATACGATCGACGCTTAAGACAATTAATGGCTTTGGGAGCTGACTTCGAGTTTACATAATTCTCAAAACAATCCTCTTACAATTTAGTCCATTACATGTCTTAACCAAAATAGGGAAAGTTTGAAAAGTCTTTGATCTTAGAAGATGACCATTCTAAAATTACGTAGTGGCTACTTTTGAATTTTTATGAGGTAATTACATCATTCATACACCTATTATTATAACAAAGAAAGAGCTCCATTGTAGTCTATTAGACTCCACAGTAGTCTTTGATGGTACACACAGCCATTCGACTAACATCTTCGGTATAAAATCGAAGCAATCCCATGTAATCGAATGGCTTAAACTGTAATGGATGCTCGTCATCAACTAACTCCTTCGGTGTCTCAATGGTGTCTTTGGTGGTTGAAAATAAGGCAAATGAATATCTTGGCTTATCTCCCTTCATTACCACGCGATGTAGAGGTGCATGTATTCTGTTATTGCTCCATGCCTACATTAATTTGAAACTTTGAAGTTAGGGCATCACATCATATATTACATGAAAATGATTGTGCATGCTTTTGTAATTATTAATTCTTAGACTAGCTAAAGATTAAATTTGAAGGAAAATATAAAACACAGCCTAAGTTGGTACTCCATAGATACATGTACTATGAAAAATAAGATTGATAGAAAACATAATAATCAGATATATTAATGGTGAGCACTACGTAACGATTTTATCTGTACATATTGACAAGATATGTATAAAAAAACGAGTAGTGTTATAATCAATTTCAACACAAAATGGTGTAAAAAAAATTTATGAATCCTTAATCAATGACTTTAATTAATTAATAGTTTGACATAAATACCACAAAAAAAAAAAAAAAAAAAAAAGACGTACCAAGAAAGGTTCCCCTGCCATGACAACAAAAGACTGAGGTGAGGACTCGAAACTAAGCCATTCACCATTTTTAGTTTGAACTTCCAAACCATTTACATCATTCTCATGAAGTATAGTTATAAAGTTCTTGTCTGTATGACCAACTGCCCCAAGATTATTTTCATCCTCTTGTGGTACCCTGTATTTGGCTATCCGAAGAAGGTATGTCGTCGAGTTGAGATGAGACTCAAGGTATTTCTCTACACCATAGGTCTCAAACACCATCTTCATAACCAATTGTTCTAGCTCGGATACTTTCTTTGCATATTGATGTATGGTTTCACTGTACCATAACATAAGAAAAAAATATTAATAAAATCAGGTGAAGAGACCAGGGCCTTATAAGTTAATGTTACTTTTTTTTTTTTTTTTATAAGGAATGAATACGTTACACCGCGATAATAATCTAGATATAATATTGTTCTTACCAAAATTGATCGTTCCCAGTAGGCCACAAGAGGTTAGTGAAACTTTGCATCTTGTCAAGCATTGCTGCATCCTCGATGCCTAGACTTTCGAGGAGTGGCATCGGCTTGCCAGGCTTATAATACCCGTGGTAGGGAAGATCGGAGGAGTTTCTAGCTTTAACCTCCGTAGGGAGGTCAAACATTGGTTGTATAACGTCGACCACCTTGTTGTGGAAGTCTAGGGTAAACTTGTCGTACACTGCGACGAAGCAACCGTATTCTTCGAGTGCTTGCCTGATGTTGTTGCATGTTGATGTCCATGAACTTGTTCCAGGGCTCAAGTTTAACGTAAGGTTAACTGTAGGAAGCTTTGGTAGACTTTTGGAAACCATGGTTTTTGCCAAAATTAATCTGTTACAAAAAGAAATAGTATAAGACTTATGAAATAATTGTTTACATTAACTATTTATGAGTTAATGAATTTTGAAATGAATATTAACATAATGTGTTACCCAAAGGAGACTTTTCTTAATTAGAGAGTCAAAGATTATAAATTAGAGATTAAACAATATGATTATCAATCAATTTATAAAATAAACTTTATGAACTATGAGTAGCTAATCAAATTTTTGTTTCTTCATTACAATAATATTGTTATAGGACTAATTAAGCATTTGAGTAGTATACTAGTAAAATACACATATAGGCACGTCAAGATTTGCTGAATGGTCAGATTACTCTAGTAAGTCTAAGTGCATGTCAATGTCACAATAACATTAATTAACAAATTGTAATTGATAATATGGAATATATAATATGGCACATCAGGATATTCAGATTAGGTAGACTCACTCCAGGTCTATATTTGTTGCTTGTACATGTCAACATGAAAAGGAAGTATATATTTAAAAGTTAATCACTCTATTAATTAGCAAATCGTTAGCTGATACGATAATTATAATACATTTGACGACCTCACAAATGTAACTTATGTAAACGCAAAGGTAATGCACGTATTTTAAGTTAGGCACTCTATTAATTATCCACTAAATCAAAGAACCTACATTTTACCAAGAGATCAGCATATATTGATGAATGCTGTATATATATAAACAAGTAATTAACTTATGTGAACACAAAGGTAATGCACGTATTATAAGTATGCATCTATATACTTATACATGTAAATAATTTAATAACATTGTGTAGAAGCAAAAATAAGATGAATGAAGATCAAAATAGAGAAATTAAGAAGAGAGCTTACTCAAAATGAGTTAATGATGAAGCTACTTTTGAAGTTGTGATGATCACTAACAATGTTTAATTTGATGAACAACTAATTGAGAGGGAGCTAGGTTTATATAGAGCATAAAATTGACCCATACATCAAAATCTATAACTAGGGATAATAATTTGATAACCGACTTCTTCAAAAAGGAGCTACAAAATCAAATTAATAATTAGCTAATTGTCATTATCCTAAGATTATCTACAGATAATAATGATTAGTCATACATGAATTAATCCTTACAATTGAAAGGACGGTCCCACAAAAAAGGGGACAGTTTATAAAATGGAGTATTAATGTTGTCAATTTGGGGTGGACCAAGTCTAGAGGGGGTGTCCTATGTAAATTAAATTTTGGGTGATTTTTAGTTGGAATTGAATTAAAGGGGTGGCATTTTTCAGTTAAATATACTTGCGACTTGCCTTACTTCGGCGGACCAAATCTTTTTGGTACGTCATTCATGCCATAATCGTATCTTGATCAAGTTTATTTTATTTATAAGCTCACCCCTTTGACCTTAATGAACATGGTTAATTAAAAGGAATTGTTATAAATTGTTTTTGTTGTCTATATTTTATTTTCGTTCTAAAATGACCGAGGGACTATTAATCATTTATCTGGTTTTGTAAAGTTGTAGTGATTTGACTTTTATGTTATTAGTCAATATGTATAACTTTAAACATCAAAATATTTAATATATATATTTTTTAATTTGTATTTTGAAATATTTAATGAGAAACGAGAAAGTCACATACACTTTATAAAATTACATTTTTGTAATATGTACAAATGAGTCACAAGGGTATTATAAATAGGTGAGGAAGATTCGAGCCTGTGACCTTTTAGACCCCATTTGTAATTAACATTAATTTATATATATATATATATATATATATATATATATATATATATAAAAGTATTTCAATATTTTAGTATTCTTTAATTAATAATTACATTATACTTGTTGATTAACTGGTGATGTGACTCACAAATTGACGTATATGGTGACCTATGTGGCTATGTTAGTTCTTATAAGCATTTCACTAGTGTTTATGTCAAACACTACCTTTCAATATATGATGTGAGAATGTAGTTGCTTCCGATTATTGTTTATCAATCTTTAATTAACAATTATGGATGGGTTTTCTATAGACTAATCAAATCAATAATCAATTTTCTAACAAATCTATATTTATAGGAATAGGTTTGAAAATGATGGGAGATTGTTGAGAAGATCAGTGAAAGCTATTCAACTGACTAGTCCTAGTACTTGTGAAATTTAAATTTATACTCTAATTATCCAAGAACATTAGCATTGATTGTGTTCATAAAGTTATCGAAACATTATGAACACAATCAATGCTAACGTTCTTGGATAATGCCGGGTTAACCTTCATTTTTAGCTGTTTATGTTCGGTTCTTTTGCTGTCGTCAAAAAAAAAAAAAAAAAAAAAAGAGAGAGAGAGAGATTGTGTTCATAAAGTATTTTTCTAATTTTAAATTATTTTTCTTAAAGCTATATTAATTAAATTATACATAGAGTGATTCAATGAAATACTTGATTGATCATCAGGTGTTTATGATCATAAATCAAACAAATAATATAATTGATAGTAGCTGGTAGATGTAATCAAAGTTCGGTATGAATAGTCAACTTTAACTGATTTATTCTTGTATAGATATGAATAACTTAAAAAGATTGTTGGAGGTGCAATATGTGGTTGAATGACTAGTATGCCTCATCAATATTCATCATATGTGACTGTCGTCCAATGGTTTCACAACTTATGGTTATAGTGTTAGATACGCTTACACCCATGTAAAGATAGTGCTGGTTCGTTATACCATGTACCAAATGATGTCATTTTATAGGATAACAACGTTATGTTACCCTACTTATATGGATTTGAACATCACTTATTTTTGAAATGACCATATAATGATTTAGTAACAAACATAATTACTGTATAATTATTTACAACGAATTACTTTGACATAAAATATGTTTGATAGAACATGATATCAACCAAACATTTTTTTATAATCGGTTTATTAATGATCCCAAATGAACTAATTGACACTCTTTTTCCACATTAAAAAAACCTCATATCCCAACATTTGAATTTCTAGGCATTGTATTATTATTAGCACTGTCAAAACGGTTTGACAGTTCGGTTTCGGTTCGGTTTGAAATCGGTTCGGTTTGAAATCGGGTCGGTTTGAAATCGGTTCAAATGTCTTACGGGTCGGTTTCGGTTCGGTTTAAATAATTATCGGTTCGGTTCGGTTTCGGTTTATTCTTGAACGGTTTAAATTCGGTTCGGGTTATAAACGGTTCGGTTAGTAAACGATTCGGTGCAAACGGGTTGCGGTTTGTTAACGGTTCGGTGTAAACGGTTTTTAACCCGGTTTAAATTCGGTTCGGGTTGTAAACGGTTCGGGTTGTAAACGGTCCGGGTAGTAAACGGTTTGGTGCAAACGGGTTGCGGTTTGTTAACGGTTCGGTGTAAACGGTTTTTAACCCGGTTTAAATTTGGTTCGGGTTGTAAACAGTTCGGTGCAGACGGGTTGCGGTTTGTTAACGGTTCGGTGTAAATGGTTTTTAACCCGGTTTAAATTCGGTTCGGTTTGTAAACGGTGCGGGTTGTAAAAATTCCAGGTAGTAAACGGTTCGGTGCAGACGGGTTGCGGTTTGTTAACGGTTCAGTGTAAATGGTTATTATCCCGGTTCAAACAGTTTCAGGTTGGAAACGGTTCGGTTGTTTTTTGGTTTAGTTTTATTTTAGTTCGGTTATAACTGGTTCGGTTCGTTCACGGGTTTGGTTCTTCTACGATTTAACATTATTTAGATCGGTTTTATTTCAGATTTACTAAATTACGGTTCGAGTCTGTTTTTGATTTCAAAAAATTTTGTACTACTTTCTAACTTTTTGCTAGTTAACAAGTTTTATATCAAGCCGAGACTTCATCACTTCATATTGAGGCATCATATTATATGCAAATTCTCATTAATTTTATAAATACATATCATGTTATGATTTAAGTTTAGCTATACTGATCTTACTAGTTTATTATGAAGTAGATTATAAAAGTTTAGTGCATTAATGTATTATTGTTTTACTATCAGATTATTATCTGCTTCTGATTTGATCATTTAGTTAATAGTGTCATAATCATGATTTGATGAGTTGTTGTGACATCGAAATTTGCAATTTGGTATTCGATACTTAATTAGTCAACAAGACTGATAATTAAGACTCGTTTATCATTATATATTTGCATAAAGTTATACATGAAGATATTACAGAGTAGTTTGATTTGTATAATGAAAGAAAACATTAATGAAGAAGAAGGTAATGTTGATTCCTTCAATCGATTATACAGATACATAACATATAACCATCTCATATTCTCATAGTTAGATATTATTAGTATAAAGGGATGAGAAACATAAGATTATTATATTTTTGTATATCCTTTACTGGTTTACCCTTAAGGCTTAAGTCACTAATTAGTAATTAGTAATTACTTAATTAGACTAACAAGTTAATCAGAAAGAGTAACTTTTAACTTGAGTCTAGTAGATCAAATACTGAAATGGTATTAGTATATTACCGAGTATGATAGTCTAGTACGCTGCTAATCTGTTATGCAGCTATGCTAAATTGACAATTGCTCATATAGTCATATTAGTCAATCACTCATGTAGACATAACTCATATCTAATTAAGTAATTTGTATTTATGTACTAATCTACTAGTCAACTATATCATTTATAAGTTTACACGATTACAAGTGTATTGCTTATAGGTACAGCTAAACTGATATAAATATAACCATATAACAAATCTGTAGTACTTCTAACTCTCTAAGATATGACATCATTATTTATTGAACAATTTTCGATTTTTTATTAATCGCAACGCCTAGAAATTACACGCTAACCGATTCACATTTTATAATTTAAAGAACTTAATATTTTAATGTGTGTGTTAAAAAAAATTATAAAAGCTGATATTATGAAGGTGAATATCGTTTTATCGGGATCCGAGAAATGTAATTAGTTTTTTTTTAAGCCATGTAATTAATTAATTGTATAAAAGTTTGTTTAATGTTATTAAAATAAAATTAAAAATTTTGATTTTTACAAAGTGGAAAATTAATTTCATTTTTTTGGTTGACAATTTCAACAAAATATGGTGGGAAATTTCAACAAAATATTTTGATTTTTTATTAATTTTATTTTCTTACAAGAAAGTTCCAATTACATTGGACCATCTTATAGATGTACATATCCCAACTGTATTACTCATTCTATTTTAATTTTTTTTTGTAACCAAACATACTACCTTTCTGCTCACACTTGAAAGAATATATATCTACCATTGTTGAAGAATTGAATCCCAATTGTATTACCTTTAGAGCATGTTTGGTTAGAGTGTTTTTTGGGTGGAAATGGATTCAATTAAACCGTTATCATTACTAAGTGTTTGGTTAGAAGGTTTAGGTAGCAATTACCATTACCATTACATAAGGGTAATGGTTTCCACTATTTGTTATCTCTCTAAAACTTAAGGTAACAATTATCCTTACCCGGCCTCCTCCAACAAAAAGAAAAGGAGCTATGATTAAGTGATTCCATTTCATGATTAAACCAAACAAATGGAAAGGTAAGTGTTAAATAATTCCTTTCCTCCCTCTTATTTGTTTTCTTTCGACTCCATTTCCAATATCTATACCAAACGCCCCCTTAATGTTTTTGTTTAACTAAAAAATAATTTAATTGGTATTTTAGTTTGGTTTATGTTGCTTGTTGTCTTGATTTAATCATGTTAGCAATGATCTAATCTAAAGGTTGGGTGACTCCTACTGTGTAAGGATGCATTAACTACTCTCTTTCTCTGTCACCCTTTTGTTACGTCATTTATGTTGTTTTTGCCAATTCGTATGCCTTTTTGCCTCCAAATTTGTTACTCATGATTAATGATTATAATTAATTGGGGTAGTTGAATTAGTTACTTGGATATAGAACTAGGGAAAGGGTAGTCTTAAAATAATTTGGATTACTTTGGTTCCTCGAGTTATTTAAAAATTCGTAGTGTTTAAAATCTAATTT